ACACTATTAAATAAACAAATCAAACTGTTGGCGCTATATAAATCCTGTATAATAATAATAATAGTAATAAAGAAATACGTGCAAAAAAAAAAAAAAACCAGATTTAACTGTGAGTAACACACGAATCGTGTAATCACTCTGTGTACACTATTAAATTAACAAATCAAAGTACACTCCAAAACCAAAATAAATAAATAAACACTAAAACCAAATAAATAAAAATAAAATAAAAAAATAATAAAAAGGTGAACACTCCGTGAACACTTCTATAGGGCAAAAATGCATATAATTACCCTCATAGAGTAATATCCAGCCTTAAAGAATACTCTGCAGTAACTTTCAAGACTCCAGTATGCTGTGTATAGGGTAAGCCCTTATTATTTGTTTATTTCAGGTACTTGTATAGCGCCATCAATTTACGCAGCGCTTTACATATATATTGTACATTCACATCAGTCCCTAACCCTCAAGGGGCGTACAATCTAAGGTCCCTAACTCACATTCATACATACACATACTAGGGACAATTTAGACAGGAGCCAATTAACCTACCAGCATGTCTTTGGAGATGTTTGAATATCTTCTGTTTTTAAGAAGGCTTTACTGCGCTATGCATGGATTCGAGGGCTTTTTGATTGCTTTAGTCTCTTTTCACCATAACCTGTGTCATCTTATTGTGCACAATTTTACAGTGCAAATAATCCAATACTATACAGCTGTTGATCAGGAACGGTATACAGCGGTTTCAGGCTATTTAGCCATCATCAGTGCAGTGTTTGGAAGCCATGGCTTCTATGAAGTGGGGCTTGGGAATGCTACAGGTTATGGTGAACAGGGACTAAAGCAATCAAACAAAGCCATCCATCCGAATCAGTGCATAGCACAGATATGTCTTCTTAAAGGATAAAAGTTCTCCTTTTGTAACATGCTACACCCATGTTACTTTGAAGCAGCCAACCTGACCTCCCCCGACCCCCCACCCCATCCTTGTGACAGCAAGCAGGGGAATCTTTTCCCCACTGGCACATTTCAGAAACAGCGCAGATAAGTGGGGCTCCGCCCAGTGGTGTATTTAGGTTTTGTGCTGCCTTAGGCAAAAAGAATTTTAAAAAATCAGCGCCCCCCACAGAGAGAGACTGACATTGACCAAAAACACCTCTGCCTCCCACCCAAGAGAGCCTTCCACTACCAATGCCCTCCCATACACCAGCCACCATCCGCCACCCCCCCCCCCCCCCCCCCAGCGGGAGACAGACACTCACCTTAACAGCTCTGGATATCCCTGGGAACACCGTACATTTTCATGAAACCCGCAGCCTCTCTCAGAACCCATCACGTCCCCATGCCACGTGTGTCCCTTCTTCCAAGGGGCAGTGCTGCCTCCCCTGAGAATTGCTGCCCTATTCAAATGCCTTATTTGCTTTCTGGTAAATACACCCCTGGCTCCGCCCACACAGCCGTGTCATTCATTCACACAGCACTGTGAATGAATGAACTACAAGTCCCACCTGTCATCCCAGCAGATGGCTTGTAGCTCTCAATGAACTGCAAGGGTGCTGATGAGCATCCTCATAGTTCATTGAATCTTCTGGCACTTCGGTAACTTTCTGCCCATATGGGAGATATTTATTTATTTATTTCAGGTACTAATATAGCGCCATTTATTTACGCAGCGCTTTACATATATATATATATATATATATATATATATATATATATATAGTGTATATTCACATCAGTCCCTGACTCTCAAGGGGCATACAATCTAAGGTCCCTAACCTACATTCATACATACATATACTAGGGCCAATTTAGACAGCATCCTAACAGCATGTCTTTGGAGTGTGGGAGGAAACCGGAGGAAACCCACTATATCTGGTCTCCCCGGACCATGCATTCACTATATCTGGTCTCCCCGGACCCTGCATTCACTATATCTGGTCTCCCCGGACCCCGCATTCACTATATCTGGTCTCCCCGGACCCCGCATTCACTATATCTGGTCTCCCCGGACCCCGCATTCACTATATCTGGTCTCCCCGGACCCCGCATTCACTATATCTGGTCTCCCCGGACCCCGCATTCACTATATCTGGTCTCCCCGGACCCCGCATTCACTATATCTGGTCTCTCCCCGGACCCCGCATTCACTTTATCTGGTCTCCCCTGACCCCGCATTCACTATATCTGGTCTCCCCGGACCCCGCATTCACTATATCTGGTCTCCCCGGACCCCGCATTCACTATATCTGGTCTCCCCGGACCCCGCATTCACTATATCTGGTCTCCCCGGACCCCGCATTCACTATATCTGGTCTCCCCGGACCCCGCATTCACTATATCTGGTCTCCCCGGACCCCGCATTCACTATATCTGGTCTCCCCGGACCCTGCATTCACTATATCTGGTCTCCCCGGACCCTGCATTCACTATATCTGGTCTCCCCTGACCCTGCATTCACTATATCTGGTCTCCCCGGACCCTGCATTCACTATATCTGGTCTCCCCGGACCCTGCATTCACTATATCTGGTCTCCCCGGACCCTGCATTCACTATATCTGGTCTCCCCGGACCCTGCATTCACTATATCCGCTCTCCCCGGACCCTGCATTCACTATATCCGCTCTCCCACAGTACACAGACCATGGAAAAGCCATTATTTTAGTAAATATAAACTGCTAAATACCTTTTCTCATCAGAAGTTAGAGCAGTCTTATGGCTCCTATCAGTGTCCAACCCAGCACTAGCTAAAGTTTGTAGGAGTAGTTTTCTTTCTGCTCTAGGAGGATACAAAACCCCTGATCTGTGTCTGGACAGTGCTGATTGGCCCTGTGCTGATCACATGCAACCTCCCAAGAAAAAAAAACTCTCTAGTAATATACACCAAATGGAGCTTGTGGAAAATGCCTGCAGTTCAGTCTGTCTTACTAGGAGATGAGAGGTGGTCGCTTAAACAAGGGGAAGAACAGAGCAATCAGGATCAAAAGGTCTTTTTACACAATGCAGAGGATTAACCCCTTAGGTTCCACAGTGAGTATAACAAGCATGCTTTACTGCATATACAGACTGATTGTACTGTTGTGGGTTTAGTAACACTTTAAATTCCTTATTATTAGTTAAATGTTACATCCCTCTATAAAACCGTAAAGTATTATTATAATCAGTATAGTGTCATGCAAATGACATTTATTTTGTAGTTGCCTACATCCTCCCCAGTCTTATACTCACCTGTCCCAATCCAGCTAGGCCCATGCATGAGCTCTGCAATTTCAATTCAATCTTTATGGAGAGATGATTGTGCTCCAGAACATAGTCTAGGATTGAGATTGCAGAACAAAGAACCATTGTGTGGCATCCAATGCTTGCAGCTGTCAGAGTACCTGAAGTATGTCTGCATCTTTTTATATGCAGGTGTGGTTTGTGGTCCAAACATCTTCCACCATACTCCTTCAACAAGTCAGGTGCTGCCGACTGGGCCACACATGGAACAAATTTAGAATGATTCAGAAGGAATCAGGCGAAATTTGATGTCTGTATGGCCAGCTATATACTGACCTGTCCCCGCTTTAGTAAGTAAACAGCTCTGTGGCCACATCAGTGCCACATAACTGCATGTCAAAATCGTCCCCACGGATCCTGCACTCTGTAATCTCATTAAATGCTATGACAAGTTCTGGAGCACAAGCTCATATTTGGGACCAACTCTCTACAGAAATTGATTAGAGCAGTGGTCTCCAAATTGCGGCCCTTTGCTTGGCTTTTTCCAGCCCTTGGGGCATTGTTCCTTCTACTGATACAAGGTACTTTTCCTTTTACCATCACCAATCAGGTACCATTCCATCCACTGACAACAATGGGGCATAATACCTCCAAATGACACCAGTGATTGGGCAATATTCCTCCCACTGACACATACTATGGAGCACTATTCCTCCCACTGACACCAACAATAGGATATAATTTCTCCCACTGTCACCAACAATAGGACACAATTCCTCCCACTAACACCAACAATAGGACACAATTCCTCCCACTAACACCAACAATAGGACACAATTCCTCCCACTAACACCAACAATAGGACAGAATTATTTTGCCTAGTGACCCCACAGGCGCTATGTATTGTTTTTTATTCCCACTGATCACCAAGCCTGAAGCATTGTCTACCACCATTGTCCAAAGTCTGGCCCCCTCTGAAGGACAGTAAACTGGCCCTTTATTTAGAAAGTTTGGAGAAACCTGGAATAGAGATTAGAGGGCACATATATTGGCCCACCTGGATCAGTACAGGTAACCCACCCTTTTCCCCTCAAGACTAGACAGAGCCTGAGTGTTCCCCCCCTTTCTTCATCTGTGGAACATTTCATAGGTTTGTTTGTGGCTAGATGAGCTATGCATGGTTTACTGCCATTAGATGTTTCTAGGAACCATCACTAAAGTCTAGCCTAGGCATAGGTTCCCCTGTACATTATACAGTAACAGGCATGAATCAAGTCCCTAGACAATATCAGGTAAATCAGGCAGATCTTCACTAAAACATGCTAATCATTAAAATGAAACTAAGTTTATATCTCTTCAGACCGACCTTGCAAAGGATAAGCAAACTTTAAATGCCTTCAAAACATTTTCTCATGTCAGTAGGCCTTGAAACAGTTCATACCAGGGGCGGACTGACCATTTGGAAACTCGGGCACTGCCTGAGGGCCCGGAGTCAGTGGGGGGCCCCATGAGATGCCCCTGGTACCTTTTTCATAGGCTTTTTTGAGTTTGGGCAATGACACAGGGGCCCCATGATCCCTTATTGCCCGGGGGCCCCATGAGTTGTCAGTCCGCCCCTGGTTCATACTATTAGCCGAGGACTATGTAGGCGTCACATTGACCACCAAGTCACATGCTCTGTAATCATTACTCCTAGTCAGAATAGCTCCATACCATATTATAATTCAATAGAGGTAGGTGGAGGGGAACTAAGATTTCTTAAAATCAAAGACTTCTGTACCTGGAAGAGAGTCTCGGAGTCATCTGTCAGCTCTGTTCGTGGGGGAGTGATAACTGTATAGAGAAAGAAAAACAGGTTAAGGTGACACACATCATATATGTAAAACTACAAGGAAAAGGAACTTCTCTTAAATGTGAAGTAAAGCCAAAACCTACTCTCAGCCACATTCTACGCCTAGTCTATCTAGTCCTGTAAAGAATAAATCAAAACACTTATCCAGGGGCGGAGTGGCAACTCATGGGGCCCCCGGGCAATAGGGGATCATGGGGCCCGTGTCCTTACCCAAACTAAAAAAAAAAGCCTATGAAAAAGGTAACAGGGGCATGTCATGGGGCCCCTTACTGACCCCGGACCCTCGGGCAGTGCCCGAGTTTCTGAATGGTCAGTCCGCCCTGCACTTATCTGTTCTGCAGCTGCTCTAGTCTGGTCTCCAACGTTGCCCTCTGTGTGCAGGACAGAGCTGACAACGGCTGGGAAGTGACATCACCTATAGAGTTATGATGGGGCTGCCGTTGCCAGCTGCCTCCTCTACACACTGAAGCAGCCGCTGACAGCTCAGCCTGGGACTGGACAGGAGCAGCTGCAGAACAGGTAAGTATAGCGATTTATACAGGGATAGATAGATTAGGATTAGAATTTGGCTGAGAGTAGGTTTACAGTTAGTTACAGTATCTCCCAGAAGTGAGTCCACCCCTCACATTTGTGTCAATATTTGATTCTGTCTTTTCATGTGACAACACTGAAGAAATTACACTTTGCTACAATGTGACGTAGTCAGTGTACAGCTTGTATAACATGTAAATTTGCTGTCTCCTCAAAATAACTCACCACACCGCCATTAATGTCTAAACCACTGGCAACAAAAGTGAGTCCACCCCTAAGTGACAAAGTCCAAATTGGGCCCAATTAGCCATTTTGCCTCCAGGATGTCATGTGACTCGTTTGTGTTACAAGGTCTCAGGTGTGAATGGGGAGCAGGTGTGTTAAATTTGGTGTTATCACTCTCATTCTCTCATAGTGACATGGCACCTCATGGCAAAGGACTCTGAGGATCTGAAAAAAAGAATTGTTGCTCTACGTAAAGATGGCCTAGGCTATAAAGAAGATTGCCAAGACCCTGAAACTGAGCTGCAGCACAGTGGCCAAGACCATACAGCGGTTTAACAGGACAGGTTCCACTCAGAACAGGCCTCGCCATGGTCGACCAGAGAAGTTGAGTGCACGTGCTCAGCATCATATCCAGAGGTTGTCTTTAGGAAATAGACGTATGAGTGCTGCCAGCATTGCTGCAGAGGTTGAAGGGGTGGGGGGGTCAGCCTGTCAGTGCTCAGACCATACGCCGAACACTGCATCAAATTGGTCTGCATGGCTGTCGTCCCAGAAGGAAGCCTCTTCTAAAGATGATGCACAAGAAAGCCACAAACACTTTGCTGAAGACAAGCAGACTAAGGACATGGATTACTGGAACCATGTCCTGTGGTCTGATGACACCAAGATAAACTGATTTGGTTCAGATGGTGTCAAGTGTGTGTGGTGGCAACCAGGTGAGAAGTACAAAGACAAGTGTGTCTTGTCTACAGTCAAGCATGGTGGTGGGAGTGTCATGGTCTGGGGCTGCATGAGTGCTGCCGGCACTGCGGAGCTACAGTTCATTGAGGGAACCATGAATGCCAACATGTACTGTGACATACTGAAGCAGAGCATGATCCCCTCCCTTAGGAGACTGGGCCGCAGAGCAGTATCCCAACATGATAACGACCCCAAACACACCTCCAAGATGACCACTGCCTTGCTAAAGAAGCTGAGGGTAAAGTTGATGGACTGGCCAAGCATGTCTCCAGACCTAAACCCTATTGAGCATCTGTGGGACATCCTCAAAAGGAAGGTGGAGGAGTGCAAGGTCTCTAACATCCACCAGCTCCGTGATGTCATCATGGAGGAGTGGAAGAGGACACCAGTGGCAACCTGTGAAGCTATGGTGAACTCCATGCCCAAGAGGGATAAGGCAGTGCTGGAAAATAATGGTGGCCACACAAAATATTGAAACTTTGGGCCCAATTTGGACATTTTCACTTAGGGGTGGACTCACTTTTGTTGCCAGCGGTTTAGACATTAATGGCTGTGTGTTGAGTTATTTTGAGGGGACAGCAAATTTACATGTTATACAAGCTATACACTGACTACGTCACATTGTAGCAAAGTGTCATTTCTTCAGTGTTGTCACATGAAAAGATGGGATAAAATATTTACAAAAATGTAAGGGATGGACTCACTTCTGGGAGATACTGTATGTTTTGCATTTACTTTCAGTTTAAATTATGCATACAATACTTGGTTGATCCTGACAGAAATTTACTGAGCCAAAAACTTCCTGTGCTGTGTTCCTGTGCTACACAAATATCAGTTAACTTTAGTCCCGGTCCTCACTGTGGATTTCAAAACACATCCCTCCCCATGTTGATGGAGATTAGGAGAGGGGAAAGTGTTCTGTAGTCCTAACACACATCTTATCCTAGGGAGACAACACTGCACTTCTGTTATACAATCGTGTTCCTTTGACAGGAATACATTTCCTGTCATAATGTTGTCACCCTGTGATAAAAAAAATGTATTACTAGCAGGATCACTAGGTGAAAATGAAGGAAAAAAAGGCTTGCCAGAGGAAAACTAGTGCAGTCACCATATCTTAGGACTAGTTAGATGCAACATGTTACCTTTTGTTTTGAGGTTTAAATGCACTTTAATGTGATTCTGCAGGAAAGATCTAAACTCTTTCCATTCATTAATTTCTATTAATTGAATGGGGGAGCTACATTTGGCCATACATCATGTAATTTTCTTTACTTCAACCATGGGTTGAAGGAAAGAAAATAGCTAATTTCCCCAATCAACATAGTTAGTCTTGATATGGGGATCCTGCCGTCAGTATACAATGATCACTGTGATTCAGTACAAGCTGATTGTAGTGAAGTCAATCGATAGGTCAACTTCAGTGCAACCAGCCCGCCCATAGATGGATCGAAATTTGGTCTGTTCCTGTTGAAGCGGCCCAATTTTGATCCGTCTATGGTCGGCTGAAGAGTTATCGGGGTCTGAGCTTTTATATCAAATTAGCCATGCAGAAGGGAACAGGTGTTAGGGATGAGTACTACCCTACAGATGCCTATTAACATTTGATGACAGCCACCTAACTGGAACTTTCCACAAAGCTGGTGACAGAAGAGAATAAAGGTTGGAAAGCTTACAGAACCTTACTGGTACACTATCAGGGGTTGTATAACATTCATATAACGGGCCTTTCCATATATACTTCAATAAATAAAAACAAATATTCAAGAAGTTAGATTTTGTATGTAAAAGATACAGTAACATACACAGATAAAATGGAATCTCTGGTTCTTGTAGGTGGCTCTGAACAAACTCCCTCACTGCTCCAACTGCAAGTAGAAAAAAGAAGGCAAGGACCATTAAAGGAGTAGAAAAAAAAAAAAAACAGGGACAAAAAAAAAAAAAAAAAGATAGAAAGTTAAAAATGCATACTGGTTTCTGTCACTTGGAAAAACCCCTGCAAGATGAATCGATCCGGGAAGACAACTCGAAGGGACAACCTACAAAATGAAATAAATATAATAAACTAAACTGAAGTTAAAGTGGACTTTGTCACAAAAAAAAAAAAAAAAAACACTTCGCACCATTGCAACCCTCCCCTCCCACCACCACCAATTAAAATGCTAACTACTCTAATTGTTTATTTTTTAATTTTGTTTCACCCTCAATCCCACCCCTGTCCCCATGTGTACTACATCTGAAGAATCCTGGGGTATCCAAGTCACGTGTTTCAAGTATCATCATGGGCTCTGAGGAAGAGGCAAGTCTTCGAAACGTGTCAGCCTTTTGGATGTCTATACTCCCCATTACGGACTGTTACTCAGCGCGGTGTTGACCCAGCTGTTCTTTATGATGTGCCTTGACTATATTGTCATTTGTGAGTACAACACCTACTTTATTTCTTATTAAACATTTTTTATGGTAATGCACTAGGCCTGTGCGCCCTCTGTCTGTTCTTTCCTCATTCAGTATATTTGGATTTCCCCGGTCCATTTGAGGGCAGCAAGGTGTGCATGTTCCAGGACATTCCTTATGTGGTTGTAGCCTGCATCGAGTCCATCCCCAAGCACAGGAGCATTTGTGTTTGCGGTTTCAAGTATCATCACCTTCTTCACAGCAGCTGGAGGAGGAAAGACTTGGTGGCATGTTATCAGGGAAGGGACTGCAAGAACCCAGAAGAGACGGCTGGCTCCTAATGATGTCAGGAAGGAAGATGGTGGCTGGAGGCCCCAAGTGCAGCAGCAGAGCAGCAGATTGGTACACAACACAGCTGGATTTGCTGGGTGGGTGAGTATGCTTATTTTGAAAAACCCCAAAGAAAAAGGTAAGGGGGGGCGGGGGATCTTAAAAAAGACACACGGGGAAGAAGGGTAAAGTTCCTTTTTAAATTATACATATACTGAAGACATACCTCCAAATTACCCCTCACAAACCAAACCTTGACATATCCTAGCCAAATACACAACACCTCCCTGCCAGGGCTTCTTCAAACAAGCCTGTATTAGAACGGGTAGCTTGCACTACTTCTACGGTGGCTGGAGATTTTTTTGGAGATTTAAAAGACAGTATGCCTTCTGAGTGATGGACCGACCAACTAAACTGATTGTAGACCCAAAAGGTAAAACAAAACAAAAAAAAAAAAAAAAAAACAACAACTAGAGTGACTCTCTGCTGCAAATTTACTACTGATTAATCAGGATGGGCAGCATTACTGATAGCACCACATATCATTTACATGCATGATTTGCAAATACAAAATACATTCCGTATAACGGGGTATTCCCATAAGAATACCAGATATCCTATATCAAGTGAACCTAAAAGGCAAATAGTTATAGAAATGGTAGTGGCGCACCGAAATGAAAATTTTGGTGCCGAAAATGAAAATTCAAAATGCACTTGGCCAATAACCGAAACACGCAGTTTTTAAAACTTTATATATATTTTTTGGAAAAAAATACACTTTGATTAAAAAAAAAAAAAACAATATATACCCCAATTTTTTTGTAAAATATGAAAGAGGATGTTATGGCAAGTAAATAGATACCCAACATGTCACACTTTAAAACTGCGCACGCTCGTGGAATGGCGTGAAACTACGCTACTTAAAAATCTCCATGGGCGAAGCTTTAAAAATTTCTACAGGTTAGCAGTGTACAGTTACAGAGGAGGTCTAGTGCGAGAATTATTGCTCTTGCTCAGACGTTCGTGGCGATATCGCACATGTGTGGTTTGAAAACCGTTTACATATGTGGGCATGGCCTACGCATGCGTTCACCACTGCAGGGGGATGAGGGCACTTTAAACTTTTTTTTTTAATTTATTTAATATTTTTTGTTCGTTTTTTTTGCACTGTCCCTTTAAAAAAAATGTAATCACTTTTATTCTTATCACAAGAAATGCATGCATCCCTTGTGATAGAAATAATCTGTGACAGGTCCTCTGTATGGAGAGATATGAGGTCAATAAGACCCCAAATTTCTCTTCTACAATGTACAGCATTGGATCAAAAAAAAAGCATTGATCTAGTGCTTTAATAAAAATGGCCGGAACCGGAAGTAACATCACTCCGGTCCTCCAAAGGCGTGAGTGAGATGAGTGGAGGCCATCTTTCCTTCACTAATCTCTATGCCCAGCGCCGGGATCGTTCGATGGTTTCTCAGGTAAGGCTGAGAACTACCGAGCGGCGGCCAGTGGAGGCAGCGAGGTTTTTTCGGCACCTGTATCAGTGCTTTTTTTCATATTGGCCGACTGAACGGGGTGTTTTCAGCCAAAACGTTTCGGCCACCGAAATTTCGGTGCATCCCTAATAAATAGTTGTAAAACATATAGGTAAAATGTCCTACCTCCCAAAATATAGATCATGTTCAGACAGTCTTTGTTTGTGTCACACCAATACAAACAAAAAATAAAAAAACATGAGAATGCCTAAACATTTGTAATTGCAACATTTTTCTGGGCGAAGTGGTGCATTATCAGACAGAAATGCAGGGCCGATTTTTTGGCCATGACTGTAAGAAACACAGATCAACGTTCATGTATGTCAGCACACCACGAATCACCAGGGTCATCTATGGAAGAATGATATCACAAATGTGCAACGTTTCAGAGCCATGCAGGATCCCTTCCTCAGGTATGCAGAGACACAAGGATATATTTAGTGCTATCTACCAATCAAAACACAAGAAAAAGGGTGGTACCCTCCCCCAATGTTGAATGACTTCACAATCCCACAATAAACAATATAACAAACATAGTCAGCAAATACTTTCAAAACATATAGTAAAAATGCTCCTTACGGGATCTACATCCTTCATGCCTGTCAACTTTAATGGCCAATCCCCCTGTACAAGACTGGCAGCACAGGTAATTACATACAAAGAGAAAGAGAACCAATTGGGCACTCTTACCAGTCTTGCAGCTAGTGGGGTCCAGCGTTGCCATTGTTAGGCAACCAAACCTCCTGCCAATTGAAAAACAGCTCTGCCGGCCACGCATGCCAGCATGGTCAGCTACTGCTAGACAACAGGAGGACGCGGGTTGGTGGGGGCTGCCAACGCCATGGAAAACAATGAAGTCAGGACGTCCCTCTGCAGCAGCTGTCAACTCCTCACTGCCTGTGATTGACAGCAGCAGGAGCCTCATGTGTCTCAGCCACTTAGGAGGGAGTGACCCGGGAGAGCCGCTGCTCTCATGCACATCGCTGGGTCACGATCAGGCTCAGGTAATTATTAGGGGGGCTGAGAGGGAAGCTGCATACAGTTTTTCACCTTTATACATAGAATGCATGACAGTAAAAACCTTGAGCCTTTATTTATTTTTCTCAGGTACTTCTATAGCGCCGACAATTTACGCAGTGCTTTACATATAAATTGCACATTGACATCAGTCCTTAACCCTCAAGGGGCGTACAGTCTAAGGTCCCTAACTTACATTCATTCATACACATAATAGGGTGAATTTAGACAGGATCCAATTAACATACCAGCATGTCTTTGGAGTGTCGGAGGAAACCGGAGTACCTGGAGGAAACCCACGCAGGCACAGGGAGAACATGCAAACTCCAGTCAGGTGGGTGCCATGGTTGGGATTAGAACCAACGACCCTAGTACTGCCAGGCGGAAGTGCTACAACCACTTTAACTAAAATTCTGCTTCTGGGGGACATTTTGTGCAAATACACGTCTAAAAGTTTGTATACGCATATTTATTAATGCAAAAGATACATTCTGTGATTGAAAACAGCAGAAGGAAACACAACTAGAATTTTAAGTATTTAAACACATTTAATTGCAAGCATTTTACTAATCAGGTGTGTGATCAGTAAAATTCTTACTGCCGTGTATATGTAGCCTTAATGATTTTAAACATGCTTGGGCCAAACATAGGTCCATCTTCAGACAAAAATCCTGAAAAAAAAAAAAAGGGCAGGCTCAACAAACCACTTGGCCTTTATTCCTGGCATCACTGCTCTTTGTTGCTATGTAATGACAGATTTTGGGCATTTGTAGAAGCAGCATTTTCCACAACTTTAATTAAAAGAAACTCTATCACTTTGCCCATTCAGTGCAAAATGGCAGTGTCTGCTGAAAGTAAACCCATCCAGCAATTCATACTCTCCCATCTGTTCCCCTTCACCAACTCCCTACTCAGTTTAGGCCTTTCTCCTGGTGCTCTAAGGGTTCTTGGGTAAAGGGAAGAATATGAACTCTCCTATGTGGCAATTCTTGGACGCAATGGGCAATTGCCAGACCAGAACATTGCCCATGGAGGAGGCAAGGCTCGGACACCATCCAGGCCAGAACATTGTCCATGGAGGAGGTAAGGCTTGGACACCATCCAGGCCAGAACATTGTCCATGGAGGAGGAAAGGCTCGCACACCATCCTGGCCAGAACGTTGTCCATGGAGGAGGAAAGGATCGGACACCATCCAGGCCAGAACATTGTCCATGGAGGAGGAAAGCTCGGACACCATCCTGGCCAGAACTTTGTCCATGGAGGAGGCAAGGCTCGGACACCATCCAGGCCAGAACATTGTCCATGGAGGAGGCAAGGATCGGACACCATCCAGGCCAGAACATTGTCCATGGAGGAGGAAAGGCTCGGACACCATCCTGGCCAGAACTTTGTCCATGGAGGAGGCAAGGCTCGGACACCATCCAGGCCAGAACATTGTCCATGGAGGAGGCAAGGCTCGGACACCATCCTGGCTAGAACATTGTCCATGGAGGAGGCAAGGCTCGGACACCATCCAGGCCAGAACATTGTCCATGGAGGAGGCAAGGCTAGGACACCATCCAGGCCAGAACATTGTCCATGGAGGAGGCAAGGCTCGGACACCATCCAGGCCAGAACATTGTCCATGGAGGAGGCAAGGCTCGGACACCATCCAGGCCAGAACATTGTCCATGGAGGAGGCAAGGCTCGGACACCATCCAGGCCAGAACATTGTCCATGGAGGAGGCAAGGCTCGGACACCATCCAGGCCAGAACATTGTCC